GATGGGCTGCAAATCATCATATCAGCCACATAATTTAGATGGGCCGACCATGCAGGGAGTTATAAATTATGTAGATGTTCCTAAGCGCTTCTGTGGAATACACCTGACTTCTGTGGTAACCCACTGGACATCCTATCCATTTATAGCCGCGCCCAAAAAAGAAAAAAAAACAAACCAACTTATGTCTTCTTGTTTGGGAGGCTATACAAGTCTGCGTGTTATGTGTATTCCTCAACGAGCTCTACTGTTCTGTGTACACTTACTCGTGTGATCAACGTAGTGCGATCTACATTACCACTAGCGCTATACTCTTCATGAGGATCCTCTGCACCCGGTCTGAACTTTAGGCCGAGACGCTGTTGCAACCATGGACCAAGATCCTGTATCCCAGTGAGATGGTTTAGCCAATGAAATGTGGAGTAGAATCGAGGAACACCTTTTTTCCTTTGGGAAGGAGAGAGAGATACAGACACCGCAGCAGCCTCCTCTGACCAATACACATGCTTCAACCATAATCTCTCTTTCTCCAACTTTTGGTCATGCCATACGTCCACATACCTTCTATCTCGCCCTGTGCTTACATGGGATGTGCAATGTAATGACTGTTCATGCATGTAATCTTCTACCGTGTGTGTATGCGCAATTTTTACATGGTCATGAGTAATTAATGCATCAAGGTATGCTAATAGTTTTCATCCATATCATACATGAGGGTTTTTGGACTGTAGTTAAACATCTAAAATAATTGCAATTTAGTCTCTTTTTTTTTTTTTTGTGTGTGCCATCTGATGTTGAGCTCAAACACAATGCCAAATGCTCTTGAGTCAACTACAAGTGTTACCGGATGGCAAATCGTCACCGTTAATTATGGGAATCTCTGAATATAACTCGACATGCAATCTAAGATGTGTGTGTGTGTGCAGTTGTGTTAGCTATTTGTTCCGTTTATGAGTGTGTGTAGGGTGCGTTACTTTCTCCTCCGTGATGGGGTGCTCCGTCTCTGGGGTCCGCCCCTCCCTCTGCCTTCCTCAGTCAGACGTGTGATGTGTCTCATCCTCATGTGCTCAGGACACTCTGCTCGCCAATGTCCTTGTTGTCCACAATTGTAACACACGCTTGGATCATAACTCCCGTAAGTCCGATCTGATCTGCCTCTGCCACGAGCTCTTCCATAACCTCTTCCTCTTCCACGTTGGCCTTGGGCAATTGTTGGCACTGCAAGCACGTAAAAATTGCATACTGAGCCTTTTCCAAACCTTTTAGTTTGTCCTTTTTCTTGTGTAACTCATCTTCAGCGTGTTCAGCGTGCTGAAGGATGTCTGCAAGAGCACACGTTTTCCAGGTTACACATGATCTTTTCACCATCCGTTTAAGTTCAGGTCTCATTCTGCTTATAAAATGTTCTTTCAGATGGACTTCATATGGCATTAGGGGCTGTGCCCCCATTGGATCAGGTCGCTTAAGGCCACTGTGGGTGTCAAAAGCTGTCGTCAGGCGTCCCAGGAATGAGCTGCATGTTTCTTGTGGCCCTTGTGTCATAGAGGTGACGGTGGGGAGGTTCAGTCTCAGAGGAAATTGTTCTTTTACCAACACAATGAGAGCATCTACAGCACTTCTAATGTCCATATCTGTGCCGTGCTCACAATCAGGATCTTTAAGGCGAGCAGCCATTCTTGTGGTGTTGAACACACTCTGAACCTTGTGATAGTCATGTGTCAGAAGTCTGCACATCAGACGCCGCAGCTCTGACATGCTAGGATGGTATTTTCTGACAAATTGCTGAAAATCAGTCTCCCACTTAGCAAGATTGTCCTTGGGACTGCAGACGTGGCTCATTGCCTTGGTCACATCGGTATCTGACCAGGGTCTGAGAACCAGCATCGGCCCTTGCGCCCCCTCCACTGGAAAAGAAGCTGCAGGATCGAACAACGTCTTTTTCCCTTCTCTGAGCAAGACCCGTCTTTGTTGAGCCTGCGAGCGGGTCACAGTAGGTGAAAAGGTCGTCTGGCTGGTGTTGGAGGTTGAATCTGGCTTCCCTCCTGGTGGGCTGTTGTCAAGCCGAGGAAAGGTTGTTTGTGCTGCTTCCTGCCGTGGAGACTGCGGGCTCATGAAGGCGGGAGCTGGAGGAGCAGTGAGGGGAGGGGGGGAGTCCAGATCCGTGTCCACCAATCTCCTCAGGAACTCATAAAAACAAGGATAAAGTGTTTTTGGGTTAGAAGGGGTACACGTTTCAGAACTTTTTGTAGGATCTTGGGTCTTTAATGAATTAAATGCTACCAACCTCTGTCTCTCCCTTCTCTCCGACTCATACTTCCACATCTTGAAAGCTTCCCAATCTGCCTTACATACCACATTCTTTTTCTGCTTTCTTCTCGACAGGCCTGCATGCTGAGCTGCATCGTTCTTCTCCTTCCCCCTCAGTTGCAATTCCAACTGCTCCAATTGATTCTCACTCAAACTCCCCTTTGAAGGAAACCCCAATTCAACCCATTTTTGTATTTGATTCAAACTGCCAGGATAACGCTCTGACATAAATTTACACAATAGTGGCAGGATATTAGTCTCATGGTTATCACCCGTCTCCCCTTTACTCTGAACACTACTCATTTAGATATCCGTATCTGTACACAAGGAGTGTACGCGCCTATAAAGGTGCGCACAAACGGAGAAATACCACACGTATAACCAAGGCAAGTCAGTGACCGTTGCTTTCTCTGGCCACTCAGTCTACTGCATTTATCCAAAGTTGGCCTGTGAATTTTCAGGAGACACAGGATATGCAACTTGAGAAAATACTACAGGTGACCCAGACACGTCTGTCTACAACACACTTGTTGTGAGATAGGCCTAAAACCCTTTTGTCAATGACTCTGTCTGCCTTAAAATAATTTTGATCTCTCACCGCGTGTTCGTCGTTTCTTTTTCTTGAACTGGATGGATCGGCAATCCGGGTCTCGTCGGGACGGCAGCTTCTCACCCTCAGGGAGGAATCACCTATACTATATGGCCTCCTGTCCGTCCGTCAGAGTCCAGATCACGCGTCCATCCCATCCTCGTCGCCAAGTTTGTGGTGGAAATTTGTGGATTTAGCCCATGTGAGAAATCAAAAGTATCTTGAGCTTGCTTTGTGATTAAGTATTTATTACTAACTAGAATATAGAAAAAAGATAAAGAATACAGAAATCATCAGCACAAGTCGTAAGCACAGACAGAAGTCAAATGACTACAATTCAGCTGAAAAGGGACAGATGTTCCTTCCCCCAAAAGGAGCAGGAAGATCTGACAAAGTCAAAGAGGAGAACAGGAGGTTTTATACACTTAGGGGGGTTTGTGCTGCCTCAGGACAGCCCACCCCTCAAGAGGAATGTGGGAAAAGTACCAGATGATGTAGGGGTGACCCTGTGACCCTCCCTTTATGGACCCAGACAATCAACAACATCTAAAAGGTCAGTCAGGGCACGCATGTTTTCATCTGTGTCTTATCTCACCCTGGACTGCCTTAAGTCACCGGCTCACATCAAGGGTCACATTCCTGAGAGCCTCACCCCACGCAGGCTCAACAATTTTCCCCCAACACAAAGAATTAATTACAAAAATATAAACGGCGGAATAGGTGACGTGAAAATGGCAAGCGAACCAAGAGGGTTAAAGAGGAAGTCATACAGACCACTTAAGTGCTGGTCATGGAGCGTAATTAGTTATCAAGCGGAGAAATCCAATTCAAACATCTGGAAGGAAATTGGTATGCTTAAGTAGGGCCAAAAATCCATATCACGGTATTAAGAAAGATTCTAACTGTATCGCGGTATGTGCGGTTTTGCTTTTTCAAGTAAACACATTAATTAATTGACTTTGCAATAAATCGTTTTCTGATCTAACTTACGTTGGATTTTCCAAAACCAAAAACCCTCCAAACGGACACAGCTCCTCTCTCACAAGTTGTGTTGGTGCATCTCTGGTCTCGTTGTTCCTCCTGTATCGCTCTTTTCTTTTATTAGTCCCACAATTTCCCTCTTGTGGGACTAATAAAGGAATATCTTTCCTTATCTGTCTTCATGTAGCAACAGAGTTACTTCTTGTTGTGAGCTGTACCCAGGATGCAGTTCAGCGGGGGATTTTTATGACTACAATTATTAGTGTTACAAATTGTTTATGGGTCACAAGCTTTTGTGTGATGGGATTTTACCCTGTTAAAGAGTGTTTGTTGTGGGTTTTTCATTGTCGGTATAAAGTTGTAACCATGACTCATTCTCAACACACATGAGACAAGTAGCTCCGACCGCGGTGCCATCTGCAATGACGTGTAAAAATACATTCTGCCGCCTGCCGAAGAGCAAAGTCAGTTGTTGTGACGTAACACCGGTATGAGCGGTACAAGATAAATTTATACCATACGGAAATCTTACACCGTTTGAACCAGTTAACCGTGCAGGCACTACGCTTAAGGCGTGAGGTTGTTGTCGCACACTTTTTTTATAGACATGGATATCTAACAAAGTGCAAATCATATCCAAGCACAGCTGTCTCAGCAGATATCTAGCTAACAATTAGGAAATTCATACGCATTGATTTGCATAAATATACCTCCTATTGACGGCCGTGCACAGATCAATGCCATTGCTCACTGAACAGATTTCATTATCAGCAGATCAATTTATTATTTTAATCAAACTAAGAGTTCATTTTAAGACAAACTGGTTAGTTGCACCCTCAGTGTGTGTGTGTGTGTGTGTGTGTGTGTGTGTGTGTGTGTGTCAATATCAGTTCAGACATTTTAAAGGTCACTGACGGGACAGGAGGTCTCAGACCTCCTCTGTGCTGTAGCCACCAGTCTTTTCCATGCATTTAGGAGAAATGTAATCTATGTTGTGTATGGCGATGCTTATTTATGCTTTGATTTGACCTCAGGGAGGGTGATTTAGAGGGCAGGGGAAAGTAAAAAAACGTAGGAAAGGAGAGAAGTATATTTGACGGTGCGACAGGAGAGAACGAGAGGGAGGGATGATGGTTTAGACCAGGGGTCCCCAAACTACGGCCTGCGGGCCGCATACGGCCCGCCTCCACATTTGACCCGGCCCCCTGAACAATACAGAGACGGAAAAAAGGCTAATGCTTATGGTAAAATGGTTGTGTCATACAAGTAATTACGACTGCTCGACGGATCGCGGTCCCTTTAAATGTTCTGTTGTTGTTGATGACGTAGAGCCCGTTGATAGGGAGATTACAAGGCTGCGCCATCTTGTTTTTTCATCCGTTGTGAAAAATAAACAAGAGACACACGCTTGTTCTCAACTTTCTCTGTGGAATGCAACTTCCACAATAATGGCAAAACGGTGTGGTAAGAGAAAAATTGATTCAGAATGCAGGGTATTTAACCCGCAGTGGACACATGATTACTTTTTTGTTCAGTTGAAAGAAAAGGCTGTTTGTCTTGTCTGTCAAGAGACGGTGGCGGTATTCAAAGAATAAAACCTGCGCCGACATTATGAATCCCGTCACAAAGACAAGTATGCTAGCCTGCACGGCCAAATGCGAGCAGAAAAAATGTCTAAGCTTAAAACTGGACTGTTCGCTCAGCAGACTACATTTGTACGGCAAACTTAGCTGAACCAAGCATCAGTTCGGGCCAGCTTCCGTGTTGCTCAGCTGATAGCAAGCTGCGTAAATCTTTCACTGAAGGAGAGTTTGTCAAGAAATGTTTGAATGTTGTCGTGGAGGAGGTCTGTCCCGAGAAGAAAGATGTCTTTAATGCCGTGAGTCTGTCGGCAAGTACAATTACCCGACGTGTTGAAGAAATTGGGGCTAATGTGTATGCCCAGCTGCAGCAGAAGACTAAAGATTTTCAGTTTTTTTCATTAGCACTGGATGAGAGCACGGACGTGCAGGACACCGCGGAGCTTCTTATTTTTATTCGTGGAGTTAACGCAAACTTTGAGATGTGCGAGGAGCTGGCAGCCCTACAAAGCCTGAAAGGGACTACAACTGTGATGTTCTGAAAGACGCATTCAAGCCCAACAGTCTCATTGACTTCTATGCCGCCCTCCCAAATGACACCTACCCTAACATAAAACAACACGCAATGAAGATGTCCACACTTTTTGGCAGCACGTATATCTGCGAGCAAACCTTTTCACGCATGAAACGCCTGAAAACTCCAACGAGATCAAGATTGACAGATGAACATTTGCATCAGTGTTTGAGACTGGCGGTGACTAGAATGGAACCGGACATTCAACTTCTCTCCAGCCAGATGCAGGCCCACAGTTCACACTGATGAACACACAGTACATAGGTAAGCTCACTTTTCTGACTTATATCAGTCATTCTGTGTATCAACAAATGTAATCATAATAAAATCTATTGGGATAAAAATCCATCTCCACAACCACACTGGTATTGAAATGCATTGTGCTGTATCACTTAGTTTGGTTTCTTAGCCTGCTTGCTTTGTGCTTTTCAGAGGGAAGTTGATGAGAGGGAGCCTACAGTGGTGTCTACTGGGCTAGCCTATGGAACCTACAAAGAACACAAGAACTTTGAGAGACATTTGAGATTCTGCTGTGACAAGTGAAGTTTACCTTTTATCTAGGATTGTGCATGGCACAGCATAACTTTCTTTCTGTGAAGAACCCACAGAGGGTTATTTGATCTCAGAAAGGGTTATTAATATTTGGATATGTGTGGTGCGCTGGAGTGTCAGCATGTTTTCTGGAAAACAATAAATTATTACATTTAGGGACCCCTGCGAATGTCACACTTTTTCTGTTAGAAACTGACCCTGGCCCCCCATCAGAGAAGGGAAAAGTTATGTGGCCCTCACTGGAAAAAGTTTGGGGACCCCTGGTTTAGACTAAAAGAGATTAAATATTGGTGGAAAGGAGAGGAGGAAAAAACCCGAAACTGGATGCAAGGGGAGGACAAATAAAACAGAACGAACATGGTCACAGGTGCAGATGGAAGAAGAGATGAAGAACTGATAGATGGGAAAAGGACAATTTAGTGCAATGGGTAGATAGAGGTCAGATACAAAGAGACTATGACAGAGATGATCATGATGGAAGAAAGGATAAAGGCTGAAACGGCCCACATTAAAGGAAATGAGTGACTGAAATCCTAGGAATCTCTGAACCCTCCGAGCCGACTATAATTTAGCCTCCAATATTTACGTTTTAGCCAGTGGATTTAAGGGTAAAGACTTTCCTTTCCTCGTGTCCGTCGTTTTCGATGTGATAAGAAACTTGATGGGCAAGACTCATGTTAGAGTGAAAGTACAAAGCCAATACGACCGGATTGTTATTTTGAGGCTAATAAAAAGGTAAATCATTGTCATCTTTGGACAATAGCCCTAAGGTTCCACCTTGTTTCTGTGACTACGGTTGCACATATTTAGAAGTTTAAATAGCTTTTTGGCTTTTTGTCATATCAGCGTTATGTTCATAGACACAAAAATGAATCCTACAAAGAAAAGAACACTATCTACTGTGAAACATGGAAGAGGGTGATAATGTTTGGCCTGGGCCTGCTTTGCTGCATCTGGCATTGGAGTTTTGAATGTGTGACGGTATTGGTTTTTCATGTAAACACATTAATTTATTGACCCGAAAAGGGCCGCCGATCAGCTGTTCGCCGCTAGCTGGCCAACTCGCTCGCCACTGGCCGGCATGTTAGCTCGTTAGCATGTTAGCTTGTCGTGGCAGCTAGTGTTGCCAGCAGAGGAAATACCAGCAGATCGACAGACTTTGCAATAAATCGTTTTCTGATCTAACGTAACTTTCGTTGTATTTTCCAAAACCCTCCAAACGGACACAGCTCCTCTCTTGGGTTGGGTTGTGTTGCTGCATCTCTGGTCCCTCGTTGTTCCTCCTGTATCACTCTTTTTCGTGTTTTCATTTAGCGACAGAGTTACTTCTTGTTGTGAGCTGTACCCAGCATGCAGTTCGGTGGGGTAATTTTTATAAATATACAATTATTAGTGTTACAAATTGTTTGTGTCACAAGCTGTTTTGTCCTGGTGTTTTCCCCTGTTAAAGCGTGTTTGTTGTGCGTTGTTCATTGAGTCATGTTTAGTCATGGTCAGTGATTGCCTCAAAAGCTTGAGCAAAAAAATATTAAGGGTACCCTAATTTCTGTCCAGGCCATTTTCATTAGTTCACTTTTATAAATAATTCTGTTAAACCACAATTCAAAGAGCAATGTCTAAATTTTCATTAGTTCATTTTCCGTACATATTTATTTTTTATTATTTTTGTCAGTTTCAAGTTGTTTCAGTAAGCATTGTGAGTTTTTCTTTATTTAACGGAAGGTTACCAACTACTTTCTCCACCTGTGTATTCAATTGCTTACCCAAATATTTCCGAGACCATATTAAACAAATGTGTTGGTTGAAACTCTACACCAGTGCGGTATGCTGTGTGGTTGGATAAGATAAGCTTTATTGTCATAAAAATGTTTCACCACATTATGGCATCAAAATAAAAACTTCAGAATTGCCATCAACTGTAGCATTAATTTAGCATAGGCAGCACTTTCTGTAAATATTTACCACCTGTGTATTCAATTGCTTACCCAAATATTTCCGAGACCATATTAAACAAATGTGTTGGTTGAAACTCTACACCAGTGCGGTATGCTGTGTGGTTGGATAAGATAAGCTTTATTGTCATAAAAATGTTTCACCACATTATGGCATCAAAATAAAAACTTCAGAATTGCCATCAACTGTAGCATTAATTTAGCATAGGCAGCACTTTCTGTAAATATTTTTGATGCATAACTAGAAGCAGTTCAGCATTTATTTTGCAGTTTCCCATCTTCAAGTAAGTTTTGGACTGACAGCATTTATTTCCCATACATTTTAGCTGCTCAATGTTGTGTCTATGCATGTTGCTATTATTCAATGTGATGATATACATTAAATAAATGTATGCTGTCATAGTTGTATCCTCATATAAAACCACAAGTCAGTACAAAGTCAGGGCCTCACAGTCAGGTAATTGGAAAGAAAGTGAAAACGTAATCTTTGCATGAAAAGGCAAAATATTGAATTTCACCAACATCATCCTCATCTATAACACCAAATGTCACAATATGAACCATTTGTCTTATACTGTGCTCATATCAAATGATCAATGTAGTTCCGTAAACACCATATTTGCTTTAATGTGCATATAACTCAACTACTTTTAGTTTAAAACAGTAACTCCTTTCCAGTTATGTCAGCTACGAGGAGGTGATATAACTGCCTGTATGCTTGGGTGGATTGATATCCACCCAAGCATACAGGCAGACCAACAGTCTTTGCCCTTGGAGGAACCAGAGCCAGATCACTGCTGCGTGATAAGTCTCCACCTCAGCGTTTGTCAGCTACGGTGAAAAAAGACCATTGTCCATTGTACCACTATCCAGCTGGCTGATTTTTAGCATCTTCTTGGACGTTTGCCCACAATTTAAACTCGGGCATCACCATGAACTGCAGCAGCTTTCTGGTGTGTTTCTGCATCTTAACTGACTCAGGGTTCATCACATGAAGTACAATTGATGTGTGTTCCAGTGTGAACTGTAGTGAACTGTAGTGAACAAATATTCTCTGTTTACCAAATGGCACAGTGTTTATAATGCATTGTACAATGATTGTCAGTCTGCGTTGCTTGTTCGTTTACAATAATTGTGCTGATGTAATTTTGTGTGGTTGATGTGATTACAGTACCAATCAGAGTTTAGAGAGGATGCTGCTCCTCCTCAGGCCTCAGTGAATACTCACCTCCTGCTTCAACCCTCTTGTGTCCCTGCAGGCGGATGCTAAGATGGTGTGCGACGTGGTCAGTCGCATGGAGGACACAGAGCCTTACTCTGCCGAGCTGCTCTCCGCCATGATTCGCCTGTGGTCCGACTCAGCCATCCAGGAGTGTTTCAGCCGAGCCCGCGAGTACCAGCTCAATGACTCAGCGCAGTAGTACGTATACATTATGTTTAGAATTCAATAGAACTTTGATTTAAAATTTGAACATTGATTCCCCTGTTTTAGCAAAAGAACGCTTTAACGTGTTCTCAATCAGTGAGCAGTGAATCACGTGTGCCGGTATGTGTTATAAGATTCATTATATTGATCTCTGTTGCTATCGCCCAGCATCCTAAGTATGTGTATCCACCCACCCACCATAAAAAAAGAGATTATTTCAAACAGATCTCATTTATTCACCACCTTCTAACTGCTATTACACACTAGCTATTACGACACAGTCAATCACCATAACAAGTCTAGCACCTGATTTATGCTAAGTGTGTGTGTGTGTGTGTGTGTGTGTGTGTGGGAAGGAAAAGAGGGAGAGAGAGAGACGAGGAGCCATTTCCTTCAAGTCCCACTTTTGTGCAAGTAGCGCTTGAATAATTGTGCACCATACATACATGACATTAAGATAAATTCACGTAGAGTGAAAAATTGAGTCATAGTCATTTCTCACCATATATATATATACAGTGATCCCTCGCCACTTCGCGGTTCACTTATCGCGGATTCGCTATTTCGCGGATTTTCATATTGCATTTTTTTTTTTTTTGGTGCATTGTGCTCTGCATTCTGATTCGCTAAAAACTCACTCCCGAGCCGTTCATTACAGTTCTCCAACGTAATCGATGGTGGCATGTCGGTGTACAAGGATCTTTTTGCAAAGAAGAAAAAAGAGCGACAACAGCTGCCTATCACTATGTTCTTCTCCCGAACAAACACACCTGCACCGCGGGCTTCAGAAGAAGAGAACACTGCAGAGCGCAGTCAGGATGCAGCGGCCCAGTCTGAAGAGCAGTGAAACGGCCTACACGCGAGTCACTGTATTTGTATACATGTAATAGTTGCTAATTGTAAAAAAAAAAAAAGTTTTCTATTTCGCGGATTTCACTTATCGCGGGTCATTTTCGGAACGTAACCCCCGCGATAAACGAGGGATTACTGTATATATATTTGCCACTGTGAGAAGAACATATACTATACCCTTAAAGGCCCCAAGCACAGATAGTAGTGAATATAGCTACACGGATTCATGTTAAACAGCTGCACCAAAACAATACAGTTTATAAGTAGTCGTCGTGGCACAGGTGTAGAGAGGGTGTGCTGGGAACCACAAGGTTGGTGGGAAAAAGGATACTCCTTTCTACACACCTTGAAATCAAATGCACCATTTGGAGGAGAATCTCCCAGTTATGCAGACTCGGAGACAACAAAAAGACGAAGGTCCAATTGGAAAATTGAAACGGAGGCCTTGCCATAGAATTAACATTAAAGTGATAGATTGATACAGGCCGCTAGACAAATGAGACTTAAGAGGCGAGAAAAAGATTGACTCGGTCAATAGGATGAGCAAGCAAAAGAGGACAGACAGAACGAGAGAGAAAGTTGCAGTACTTAGTCATTTCTCACCATGGCAGGCATTTTGTGGGTGCAGACGTATTCCTGTCAACATTTACATGTAGTCAATTAACTTGAACAACATCCGCTGTGTGCGAGTGCAAGCATGTGTGCGTGGGTCTGTGTGTGTCCGTTTGTGTGCCTGCCTTAAATGTCACATTAAAGATTGATGCACACTTCCTATTATGTTGTGCCCTGTGGAGTGGAATAAGCCGACCAGCCAATGAACTGTTAGGACAGACATCACATGATCAGACCACATTCTGCCTCCTTCCGTCTTCAACCAAAAAATCTTCAACTGTTAACCGACAACATTAGCTTCTTGCATGCAGAAAAGCTGTGGTTGAAGTTCCCAACTGCAACGATAACTTATGCACAAACCATAAATCAGTCATTGATCACCAGCTGCAGTGTAGGCGCCCAACAGGCAACTGCCTGCTATGTTTTGTCAAGGTTTTAGCCAGTTTATTTAAAGCCTGGCGTATTACATTGAACGCAGCAGTGCAGTGCATACACTTTGTTCTTCAGTCAATAAATGCTACAGCTCCTCAAGAATATTAAAGAGAAGGAGGTTAACCCTGAAGTTAGCGACAACTCAGGCTCACTTATGAGTTGAACTTTAAGGTGGACCAGTGGTTCTTCTTTCATGTTTTCTAGTCTTTCTTTTAACTGTCAAAATCAATGGGTCAGGATCTCAGTTGAGACGAGCTTAGGCTGATAATTTAGTATAAACACAGTTCTGTTTGTGTTAGCGTGAGTATGTCCTCACACATGCATCTACACTATTGTGTGTTTGTCTCTATTCTGAGAGGAACAAATACGGCCTTAGGCCACCTCTCTCTGTGCAGATGCTCCACTTGTCCCGACCTCTTAACCACAATGCACATACACTCTATATGATTTGAATACCCTGCCTTTGTGACAAAGTGGTTATGCACCATCCATGTACCAACTGGTCCTCAATTATGTCCTCGACATCGTCACAAATGCAATGACCTTAATGGGGAACTTCAGTTTATTTTACGTGAAGTTTGATGATGTTAATTGCCAACCGGGTTACAACAATTCTTAGTTGACACCAGTCTAAAATCATTAAACACAACATTAATTAAATAATAAATAAATGACAAGGAGCAGAGTTGAAACATCTAAAAGTCATGCGTCAAGTTGCTGTTCGCTGGCAGCTCACACTTTATGGTGTTCTAGTGTTTATCTCAAGTAATATTGCTTGAACTACTACAACTAAGACAATATATTATTTATGTCTCCAAACAGGAAGTTAAACAGGAGTAGGACTGTACTGCTACGTTCACAGCTGTAACGCTACTGTTACTGTCCGTGCTCACTTGACCAGAAACCCGTTGATGTTAGATTGGTCACATTACATTGTAGACTGAATAGCGGGGCGGCTGCATGGATGCGAGACAATGCAGGCGATATCTTAGCTGCTAACTCAGTTAAGCAATTGCCTGTCTTTGCAGCACAGCATCCGCGTATGCAAGGCAGTACCGCTTGTCCCGTCTGATAACGCTACGGGCGACGGGGGTTAACCAACGCGGCTCGGACCTGGAGTCCGATTACTTAGCGTGAGGAATTGGATGTGTGGCGGTCAGAGTTGACAGCCCTGTAGCTTTGTTGGCTAGCTTGACAACAACTTTCCTAACACAGTCAAATAACAAGGAATTGCAACACAAGACAAAAACAAGACAGCAAATAAGTTACTGAATAGTCCAGCAGAAATGCATGCAAAATAACCTACAATTTCACTCATGTGGGCCTTTATGATCATGAGGTCAGAATGCACACAAAATTGTACCAAATAATACACACTTGATGCAGTAGGATACATGCTGGTGGAGCCTGAGGGTGGATCTTCACCTAAGGAAAAATAATTATTCCATGAATTAAGAAATATGAATGTGAGAATATAAAACTCAATCTATATGCAAGTAAATGAAGCATTGTTTATCCCACAGGCAGTCAAACAGGTGCCAGGTAAAAAAGGGAACCTTACAGATGTTTTATTTATTACTATCATAGATAAAGGTATAGTATCGAAGTCATAATTTTGATATCGTGAGTGCTGGTGGTAAATCGGAACATAGATTTCAACCTTCTAAAACTAGTTACTTAGCAACAGCTATGAAGGAGGATAGTCCCCCCCCCATCGGCTGACTTTAAAAAGAAAAAGAAATGCCACATAAACAGGTTTTTAAGGTATGTTTCAAAGTGTACATATTATACCCTCTGTGTATATATGTGTATCTGTTTAAAGTTACATTTTGTGTATACTTGCGAATATGGTTTTTTACCACCCTTTATATTAGGGAATGTCACCAACATTTAACCACATGCTGATGTCGGTCATTGCACTTGCAGTCAATGCAGTAAGGGATCGATAGTACTACTTGTACTACTTGACAGAGGGGTTTGGGTCTGTCTGTTACACGTGCTGGAAGATTCTGTGAATTTTCCTGCTGCAGGACAAATAAAGGATTATTTTAAATAACCGTACTATTCGAAATACAGAACTTTGTTTCTTTGCATGAATTGCAGTATGTGCAATGCAAAAAGTGTTGGTTGAGCTTTACTTCAGCACATTAAAGGGGAGGGAGCAGGGGGAGAGAAGGGGAGACTGAGGCAGCGAGTAGATGGACTGAGGTTTAATACAGGGTTAATACAAAAACATGTTTTGCACAGGGTTACATCTGTGTTTTCATCTGTGTGTTAGGTACAATAAGGAAAGGCATAAGGTATAGCACATTTAAACAAGGCAATTCAAAGTGAACTGAAGTGTCTTGCAGTGACAAACAGAGTTATGGCTGACTCATGAAAATAAATACGTTAAATATCAAACAAATACTGAAAATTGTGGCTGATAATTGGTCGATCAACGTGCACTTGACTTTAATTTAACAGACAACATTCTCTTCGGTGGTTTCTCTTTTGTGCCTCATACTTTCTCAGGGATCATCTATAATACTCTACATCACCAGGGAAATCAAAGAAGAATTAAATGTGATGTGATGTAAATTGACGGAGTCCACCATATCAGAATGAGGGTGGGGACTACTGCAGTGTAGCTCTACATAGAACGATCAATGCTGACTAAGAATAGGCTACTCAGGAATACATTAATCTGCAATAATTTAAGTTCCTGTCAAAAACATTTTCTCTGAAATGGGACCGCTGGGTAGAATTGGGGACAGGTGTGGACTGACAGCTTTTATCTTTAGAGGGCTGAGCCTACTTTGCTGCTAAAGGTCTTTCAGGTGTAAACTTTCGTCTTATCATCTCCATCTCTTCTTAATCACTTGCCCTGTGCATCCAGAAACTATTACACTCTCTACATGCAGTACATACAAAGTGTGGCTTCTAGTTTGTATTTCTATATATTTCCCATTCCAAACAATTTCTGCCTCATGTTCTAATTGTCTCCCCCTTTCAGCTCTCCCTATTTACCGTCTCTCCGCACCCCATGATCTAAAACCATATCTGTTTCTCATTGATCAATAGCTCTTATCACCGTGTGTGTGTGTGTGTGTGTGTGTGTGTGTGTGTGTGTGTGTGTGTGTGTGTGTGTGAGTGTTTAGACCATTAGCTCATACTTTATTTTTTCCCCTCATGCTCTTAGAAGTAACTCGGCATCCATTTATAAAAGCTCTGAAACACCACCCGCCAATCTATAAGTAAACGCTTTACATCCATTACTCTAAATGGATGCATGATGTGATGATGTTATATCTCCTCCCGTTCGGTCCGACTTTCCGTCAGCCGATCTTGAGTTGGTTGAGAACAGCAAAAATGTCAGATGGTTATTGCTCTGCACCTGCTTTTGGAAGTCTATCAGAAGGGAAAGCATAAGGATGATGTCTTTTAGGAGGACATGACACAGCTGTATGTCCGCATAGGCAATGAACATGGCTTTAGGAGAACATAGCAGACACCAGCCAATCAGATTAACAGATTGGACATGCTGTAAAAGTGAATAAGTAGTGAAGCCGCAGCTCCGTCTTCATCCTCTTCTCCTCCGTCTTCGCTCGGTGGTGAGGCGGAATGTTACAGTTGTGAGAGCGATCCCCCCTCAGCCCAGGAGCTTCCCTGCGTGTTCAGTGAGATTAATCTGAGCTGTACGATTAAGGATTATTTGATATATTGATCTACATTAAAAAATAAAGGTCCACTTCTAGTCATATGCCATTACGTAACCGAGTACTCATCTCGCCCTACTGTACAATGATTCTTCCTCTACTTGCTGACAGTATTGATCTGTATCTTCCTCTGACCTCTGACCCTCAATTGAGGGAGAAACAGAAAGTTGCCCCACAGCAGTCAGGAGAGTTGTACATTGGATGTCATTATTAATACATCATCCAGTGGGTGGTTGTCAAATGCTGCATGTTATGTAATGTTCAGTGTTTCAGCCACCTGAGCCATGACATACATCATCACACAGTGGAAAGAAACACAACAAATGCGTCCTTGTTTCAGTGATCACACTAGTACTCTGTCAGTGTGATTAGCAATCTACCCTTTGAGCTACTGAGACCTAAGTGATTCTTAAAGATGAGATGCACCAAGCTACTCAACTCAAAGAAAAAGAATTACAAGGAAGCCATATGAGAACTGATTGTTTACAGAGCGCCACACCACTACGTTACTTTAGCTGCTGTACGTTCAAACCAAGAACTCTTAACAATGTGATGATCCGCAATGATCAAAATGTTAATGACGTTCTTTCAAGTTGAATGGATACTGATTGTCCGTCAGTCTCTCTGTCTCTCTGTCTCTCGTCCAACTGCTCTGAAAAGTCATCCCAATTATACCAGTTTCTACTGTGGTTGTTGTTATAATTGTTTTGTGGACCTTAGATCATTTAAAAAAAGTAGGTTTTCAATTTCAAGAGTAGAAGAGAAAAGGGTCTTAGACTGAGTTCTTACAGATTCATATGGCAGGGTTTAGAAGATGTAAACCTTCCCCAAATCCAACTTGGCGCTTGACGCAAACGTTAGCCGAGACTGTCGTAGCATCCAGGCCTAAAGTCCACACTGTGATAACATCTTACCCCCTTAGTTAATAATGTGCTCCATGACCTTTCAACTATCTTAACACTTGTCTTTTAGCTAGTTAGCCGCATGCTAACATTCTTTAAATAAGCAGATAATTATCATTAATTAATTCCCTTCACTTATATAGAGAATGGATTGTGAAAATAAACAAGAATAGCAACAACAATGTGGGAACAGGCCAGTGACTGACATTATAACAGTAATGACCAAAACATACATACATTGCATTCAAATATCACAAGCAGATTTAAGTACCTGAGTATTGGGGATGTTTTGGAAGTAAATAGCGATGGAAAACATCAAACTTATATTCGTTGCCTCATCGGGAGTCTGTGGCGCTCTTGAGGGACCGGCGGGCTGAATTCTGGATGGGTTTTCATTTGTGGATTATTTTGATGGATGTGCAGTACAAGATGCTGCTGCCCGCAGTAGTTTTTGTGTATGAAAAAGGCAACAAAAAAAAAACTTTCTCTCTGAAGCTTCACCTTCACCACTACAGTGGTTCATGTGGAGAAATCCGCACCACGTCTTGTTAAAGCTAAACTACAAGACGATTGATGCTGGTTTTCAAACTGCGTCTGTCTCTGTGTCTGTGCAGCTACCTAGACAGCCTAGATCGGATTGGTGCCACGGACTACCAGCCCACGGAGCAGGACATCCTGAGGACCCGAGTGAAGACCACTGGCATCGTCGAGACACACTTTACCTTCAAAAACCTCCACTTCAGGTCAGTACCAACACATAACATTGACTATTATTTTACTGGGTTAGGGTTCACAAGCTCCACCTCTTCTCATCTTAAGCTCTGCTTATCCATTTGGGAACTCCAGTCTTTAATTAATGCAATGTAACGCTTTAAACAAGTGTTTATATCTATCATTGTCTGTAATTTTCACACAAACTATTTTTTTGTGTGTACAGATACATTACACAACGCACAAACATTTTCATTCTGCAGAATGATGCTTTCTACTGTTACTCTGGCACTGGAGCAGGCAGTGTGCTGCTGGGTGTGTTTTATTAAAAAGCCTAAATATTGTCAGCTTAATTGCTATTTCTGGCAGTCAGGCAGTGTGTGGGAGACTTAAAATGTGTGCATCGAACAATACAATAAATAGCCTCAGTTTAAATAAGTCAATAAACACATCTGAGATGCACTATGAAATATAATTGTATAAAAAAAATGCAATAAGAGTATGCCCTGAAATGAACAGAAAACATTGAATGGAGTATCAAAACTTATTAAACAGTTGCAATATTGCACCACGCTCCACGTTGATCGTTCTACAGTTTTATTGCACAATAGATAGATAGATAGATTGATACTTTATTGATCCCTCAAGAGGGAAATTTTGGTATCACAGCCGCATGTACAGGGAAGAAAATACAATAAAAGGGTACACATTATATACAATATAATAAGATAGAAATATTAAATTATTAAATTAAATTAAGTTAAATAAACTAAAACTGAAACAAAAGAATAACCTTCCAAAAGAGACAATAATAATAATTTGTAAAAGGAGAAGAGGAAGAGCAGCAGCATCACAGCAGTACAGGGTTGTTATTGTTGTTATTTGGCCAGAGATGATTTATTGTAAAGTGTTATTGCACTGGGAAGGAATGATCTCCTGTATCGGTCCTAAAGTAGGTAGGTGTGCGTGAGAAGACTCCATCCACTCTGTGTGTGTGTGTGTGTGTGTGTATGTGTGTGTGTGTGTGTGTGTGTGTGTGTGTGTGTGTGTGTGTGTGTGTGTGTGTGTGTGTGTGTGTGTGTGTGTGATTGCACATGTGTTTTGATTCACATCCGTCTCACTCTGTCCATCAGGCTGTTTGATGTAGGAGGTCAGAGGTCGGAGAGGAAGAAGTGGATCCACTGTTTTGAGGATGTCACCGCTATTATTTTCTGTGTGGCGCTCAGCGGATACGACCAGGTGCTGCATGAGGACGAGACCACGGTAAGGATACATGTGGACATGTGTATGTTCTCTCTCGCTTTGTCCCTCTATCCCTGTCACTGAGTGGCATAGTGACCAATTCATGAATATTGGAAGACATATTTCAAGGCTGCCATGTCAGATGGAATGCTTAATGTTATTTTGGAGAACAGCATGGACACAGGCCTTATAGCAGCTAGTTTAAAGATATTACTCTTGTTCTTCATGTAGAAACGGTGTTTCAGCTGACATTAATTACACACCCTGTGTAAGAACTTGAAACACGGAGGAATATGTGCTGTTTGATAAGCTCCTAAATTAATTGAACCATAAACTTACTTAAATGTTTAGATTTCCATTTCAATGAATTAATGAAACAACTGTCTTTTCTCTTTTTGCTCTACTTAGATAGCAAGTGTTATTTATTCAATGAACTAAGTCTTTGTACTTTCATGGCACCATAGCACATTCTTCAATGTACATTAAGTTGTGTTTCCTCTCAATCTGTTTGATGCACCATCGTCTGATACCACAACCAAACATGTAAATAAATCCACGGGCCACAGTCAAAATACTTGTTTATTTACTAAAGCAATCAATCCAACAGTGCTTAATTTCTGGTGAACCCACTGTTGGATTGTTCCTACGAGGAGACCGAGAGGAGTTGTTTTTCTCATCCCTACGGTCACAGTATCAGTTGCACTCTGCCCAAACCAAATAACCTGTTTTAAATAATGGGACGGTCGTATTTGGTCTCTCACAAAGTTACTCTCAAGGCAAATCATCTTGAATTAAGAGATATACAATCAGTGTAGAAATGAACCAAGTTCATACAATGTTTCTAATGCCTTTGGTTTAGTGAAATAAATATAATGAATTAGATACTCAGGTACTACAACACTGTTCATAACCGTAAACCTTAACATTGCAGGACTTTATTATTTGTAGTTACAAATGTGTATTTAATGAGTACAGATTGGTAACACATAATACCGGGTAATGGCTCTGGACAAGGTGGTACACAGTCACAGAGTAGCTCAGTGTTTCCTCAACAAAAACATGTCAGAGCTACCAACTCTCACGGTTTCGCCGTGTTACACACGCTTTTGCATGTTTTCACACGCACTCACGCCACACAACCAATTTCTCACGGCAAAAAAAAAAATTCTGATTTTGGGCCGAGGCGCGTTCGTTTCTTTTCAAACTCCCCGACGATAAATGGCCCTAAGGAGCGCGTCTGTAAACCTATTCGCTGCATAGACGTCCTGTTTACCCCAAAGAGTCCCGCAGTCAGCAACAGAAGAAGATTTTCAAACAGACACAGCCGCGGGAGAAACTGAGGAGGAGAAAAGACTAAGGAGTGTTAATGACATGTGGTTCAATTAAGTACTCACTCTCTTAAACTTTAAATCTGGAAATAAATGATTAGTTGTGTTTGTGCGTGTGATTTTGAGTGGTGAATGTAAACTGTCATAACAAGCAGCAGGAGAGCACCTTGTTAACCTCTTGGTATACTGCACGCTGAAAACATCATAGCATCGTTTATAAAGGCTGCTCACATAACATTTGTCATTTTTTGCTGAACATAAATCATTAAGTGCTCTTAAGAATACAATTATTAACAATATAGGTTAGGTTTCAGTTAAGAATTAGTTGAATACCATTGTAATCAAAATGTCAATCAATCTAAATTGGTCAAATCTTAAACACAGGTCTATTAATTAGGCTATATTGTGGTACATAGACAGTCATTGAGGCACAGCAATAGTTTTCTGGTTGAATGTTCAGCTCAAGTCTAGAAGGCCCCACGAGTCATGAGCAGATGAACATGAATCAGAATAAGGTCAGGCATACCACCCAAAAATCCACTAGAATGCATGAAATCTACTTAAACCAACATGTCCTGGGGGTGGACCATCAGCTATGTCTTTGCTTCACAGAATGAAACCAATGTTTTCCATCTCCAGCAGGCCGCCCCTATCGACGACTTTGGGCCCCACAAACCTCCAGAATGCAGGGTACAACATGGGTACTACGCCAAATGAATTCCAATTTCCTGATATTTGAGCCACCAGCGCGTGTGGCTGCGTGCGCGGCAACATTTTGGTCACCCCCGACAAAATCTCACTCCAAGGTTTTTTGAAAAGTTGGCAGCTCTGAACATGTGTCTGTACAGACGATGTAGATGATCTTACATACAATAAATAAGCTGATTTGAATGCCTGGCGCTCACTGCTATTTATAAAGCCTGAAGCGTATCCTCTGAGGAATCCAGGCTGGGAAACTGAGTAGCTGCTCTATTTATGCAGCGTTGCAGCCTCCCGTTAAGGTGGGAGCTCCAGAGGAATGTCAAATTAAGAGAAGCAACATGCATCATGAAACACACTCAAAAAACTGCTTCTAGCCGGTGTGTCGTATATGAATACCTTTAAATAGTGTGTCCTCTGAGTGACGGCGCCGTAAACTCATGGTGCTACTTTGGGTATGGCTGCTAGAAAATGTTTTCGATAGGCAACATCAAAAGTAAACATAAATTCTGTCCCTAAGCACGGAAAAGTAGTCACGTATTTCAAAACTACCAATTGTATCTCTGCACAAACAGAGGAATGGCGCCGTTGATGGCCGCCTCGGTGCTTCGGTGCGCTTCGTTTTTTGTTGTTTTTGTTGTTAATTATGTTTCCTGCTGCGATTCCCGGAGCTCTTTCACCAGAGATGAGCTCTTGAACATCCGTGGAACAACTCCAGCGGAGTTACTTCCAACTTTCCTGCTTTCTTCCGTGGAATTACTGGACATTCTAGTCAAAGGTGCGCTCACCTTTCGTCACGCGGTGAGACGCCGTAGGAGAGGAAAACGGGCCGGCTCGCTGGTGAGACTCCGCAGGCGGGGTTCTCGCACTCCGCTGCCAGGCATCTTTCTCTCCAACGTGCGCTCACTGTGCAACAAACTGGACGAAATTCAGCTGCTGATGAGGAGAGACAGAGACTTCTCTACATCCTCCGTCTTGTGCTTCACGGAGACGTGGCTCTGCGGATCGATACCGGACTCCGCGCTCCAGCTGGCGGGCTTCCAGCTGCTCCGAGCGGACCGCGACACGGAGCTCTCCGGCAAGACGAAGGGTGGAGGAATCTGCTTCTACTTCAACAACAGCTGGTGCAACGACGTAACGGTGATCCTACAACACTGTTCTCCTGATCTGGAAACTTTTTTCATCCACTGCAAACCCTTTTATTCCCCCCGTGAGTTCGCTTCATTCATCCTGGTCGGTGTTTACATGCCGCCGGCGGGCAACGTGCACGAGGCACAGCGGACACTCGCCAACCAGATACAGCGTGTGGAGCGGACCAACCCGGACTCTTTAGTTATTGTCCTCGGGGACTTTACCAAAGGAAATCTCACCCATGAACTCCCTAAATACAGACAGTTTATTAAATGCCCCACCAGAGAGGAGAACACGCTGGATCACTGTTACACCACAGTAAGCAGGGCTTATCACGGCGTCCCTCGTGCTGCACTGGGACACTCTGACCACGTCATGGTCCATCTGATTCCTGCATACAGGCAGAAACTAAAGCTCTGCAAACCTGTGGTGAGGGAATTCAAGAAGTGGACCAGTGAGGCGCTGGAGGATCTTCGGGCGAGCTTTGACTGCACAGACTGGGATGGTTTCAGGACTGCTACTGACAGTCTGGATGAGTTCACAGAGGCTGTAACTTCCTACATCGGCTTCTGTGAGGACAGCTGTGTACCATCATGCACCAGGGTGAGTTACAACAACGACAAACCCTGGTTCACAGCGGAACTCAGAACACTACGCCTGCAGAAGGATCAGGCATTTAGGAGCGGGGACAAAGACTTGTACACAGAGGCAAAATACAAGTTTAGCAAGGCGGTGAGAGATGCTAAACGACTGTACTCTGAGAAACTCCAACAACAGTTCTCAGCAAGTGACTCTGCTTCGGTTTGGAGAGGCCTCAAACACCTCACCAACTACAAGCCAAAAAACCCCCCACTCCATGAATGACCTCCGCCTGGCAGACGAGCTCAATGAGTTCTACTGCAGATTTGAAAGACAATGTCCTGATCCCATCCCCCACAGCTCCACCAACCTGCTGCAGTCCCCCTCCCCTCCCTCCCCCAGCCCATCAGGTGCTCACGCCTCTTCATCATTATCACCTTCCCCTCCCCCACCAGCAACGACCCTCTCTATTCTGGAGAGAGACGTTAACCGGCTCTTTAGAAGACTAAATCCCCGTAAGGCAGCCGGTCCGGACTCCGTTTCCCCTCACTCCCTGAAGCATTGTGCTGACCAGCTGTCTCCGGTGTTCACTGACATCTTCAACACCTCCCTGGAGACATGCCACGTACCAGCCTGCTTCAAGGCCTCCACCATCATCCCTGTTCCCAAGAAGCCCAGGATCACAGGACTCAATGACTACAGGCCCGTCGCCCTGACCTCTGTAGTCATGAAGTCTTTTGAACGGCTAGTCCTGTCCCACCTGAAGTCCCTCACCGACCCCCTCCTGGACCCCCTGCAGTTCGCCTACAGAGCCAACAGATCTGTGGACGATGCTGTCAACATGGCCCTCCACTACATCCTCCAGCATCTGGACTCCCCAGGAACCTACGCCAGGATCCTGTTTGTGGACTTCAGCTCTGCTTTTAACACTATCATCCCGTCTCTGCTGCCGGACAAACTCTCCCAGCTGCACGTGCCCGACTCCACCTGCAAGTGGATCACAGACTTCCTGTCTGACATGAAGCAGCACGTGAAGCTGGGGAAACATGTCTCAGCCTCTCGGACCATCAGCACCGGTTCCCCCCAAGGCTGCGTTCTTTCCCCTCTGCTCTTCTCCCTGTACACCAACAGCTGCACCTCCAGCCACCAGTCCGTCAAGCTCCTGAAGTTTGCGGATGACACCACCCTCATTGGACTAATCTCTGGTGGGGACGAGTCCGCCTACAGGTGGGAGTCTGACCATCTGGTGTCGTGGTGCAGCCAGAACAACCTGGAGCTCAACGC